CACAACTGATTGGCTCAAACGCATTAAGGAAAGAATTTCCACAAATTAGCACCTGTTAATTGAAATGCATTCCAGATGACTACCTCATGAAGCTGGTTGAGTGAATGCCAAGAGTGTGCAAAGATGTCATCAAGGCAAACGGTGGCTATTTGAGGAATATCAAATCTATTTTGATTGGTTTTTAACACTTTTTTGGTGATCACATGATTCCATATGTGTTATTTCATAGTTTGATGTCTTCACTATTATTCTACAATGTAGAAAATACTAAAAAGAAAAGAAAAACCCTGGAATGAGTAGGTGTCCAAACTTTTGACTGGTACAGTATATATGTCGTTTTTTGATGAAACATTGAATTTGTCCATACTGCCATTAGCCCATAGAAACGCATTGAAAAACAGATTCATATACAGAAAAACAGAAAGTAAAAAAATTAATCAAAAGGAAGTGTGTTTTAAAGTGTCTGTCCTATAGCTTTCTTATCTAAGAAAGACATTATTATTTTTTAAACATTGACCCATATTTAACAAAACAAAAAATAAGCACTAAACTACTTCAATATATAGTTCAAATTATTATTTTTTACAGGTACCAGGCCACCTTCAGACGAGTCTTGCGAGGATTGTGGGCATCCTAGAGCAAAACAACCGACGTACACTACCATTGAAAAGTTTGGGGTCACTTAGAAATGTCCTTGTTTTCCATGAAAACATACATGAAATTTGTTTGAATAGAAAATATAGCAAAATGCATAGGAAATGTAGTCACTGACAAGGATGGAAATAATAATTGTGTCCTTCAAACTTTGCTTTCGTCAAAGAATCCTCCATTTGCAGCAATTACAGCCTTTGGCATTCTAGTTGTCAATTTGTTGAGGTAATCTGAAGAGATTTCACCCCATGCTTCCTGAAGCACCTCCCACAAGTTGGATTGGCTTGATGGGCACTTCTTACGTACCATACGGTCAAGCTGCTCCCACAACAGCTCAATAGGGTTGAGATCCGGTAACTGTGCTGGCCACTCCATTATAGACAGAATACCAGCTGACTGCTTCTTCCCTAAATAGTTAATGCGTAGTTTGGAGCTGTGCTTTGGGTCATTGTCCTGTTGTAGGACGACATTGGCTCCAATCAAGCGCCGTCCACAGGGTATGGCATGGCGTTGCAAAATGGAGTGATAGCCTTCCTTCTTCAAGATCCCTTTTACCCTGTACAAATCTCCCACTTTACCACCACCAAAGCACCCCCAGACCATCACATTGCCTCCACCATGCTTGACAGATGGCATCAAGCACTCCTCCAGCATCTTTTCATTTGGTCTGCGTCTCACAAATGCGGGTACTATTTAATGAAGCTGCCAGTTGAGGACCTGTGAGGCGTCTGTTTCTCAAACTACATTTACATTTTAGTCATTTAGCAGACGCTCTTATCCAGAGCGACTTACAGTTAGTGAGTGCATACATCATTTTATTTTTATTTATACTGGCCCCCCATGGGAATCGAACCCACAACCCTGGCTTTGCAAACGCCATGCTCTACCAACTGAGCTACATCCCTGCCGGTCATTCCCTCCCCTACCCTGGACGACGCTGGGCCAATTGTGCGCCGCCCCCATGGGTCTCCCGGTCGCGGCCGGCTACGACAGTATTTGTCCTCTTGCTCAGTTGTGCACCGGGGCCTCCCACTCCTCTTTCTATTCTGGTTAGAGACAGTTTGCGCTGTTCTGTGAAGGGAGTAGTACACAGCGTTGTACGAGATCTGCAATTTCTTGCACAGAATAGCCTTAATTTCTCAGAACAAGAATAGACTGACTGAAAGTTATTTGTTTCTGGCCATTTTGAGCCTGTAATCGAACCCACAATTGCTGATGCTCCATATACTCAACTAGTCTCAAGGCCAGTTTTATTGCTTCTTTAAATCAGCACAACAAACAAACATAATTGCAAAAGGGTTTTCTAATGATCAATTAGCCTTTTTAAATGATAAACCTGGATTAGCAAACACAACGTGCCATTGGAACACAGGACTGATGGTTGCTGATAATGGGCCTCTGTACATCTATGTAGCTATTCCATTAAAAATCACCCGTTTCCAGCTACAATAGCCATTTACAACAATGTCTACACTGTATTTCTGATCAATTTTATGTTATTTTAAAATGGACAAAAAAATTGCTTTAGAAAACAAGGACATTTCTAAGTGACCCCAAACTTTTGAACGGTAGTGTACGTCTTCGTGAAAGTCTCACCTTTCCATAGAGGGGTCTTTAGTGTGTATCCCATACTGTTTGGACGCTACAGACAGAAGTTGGGAGATTGGCGGTGCCGACTTCAGACGAGTCCCGTTACGCTTGTGGGGGTCATTGAGCAAAACGGAGAACACCATTGTGTTCGTGACACGTAGGCCAAACCGTTCGGATGCTACAGAAGTTTTCATGAGAAGACTGATTTTCGGGACGTCTCATGGTCTGACAAACACCGCTGTAGCTTGGCCACCTTCCACCGCAAATGCGGAAGGCCACCATTGGCGGATGTGGTGGATTGAGACGCAGCCCAGGAAAAAATACATAACTCTAGCTTAGACAGATTTTGATGGGGATTTTTATTATAATGCTAATTATATTTCCACTTTGGATGGTGTATCAATACACCAAGTCACTACAAAGATACAGGCGTCCTTTCTAACTCGGTTGCTGGAGAAGGAAACCGCTCAGGGATTTCGCCATGAGGCCAATAGTGACTTTAAAACAGTTACAAAGTTGAATAGCTGGGATAAGAGAAAACTGAGGATGGATCAACAACATTGTAGTTACCCCACAATACTAACCTAATTGACAGAATGAAAAGAAGGAAGCCTGTACAGAATACAAATATTCCAAAACATGCATCCTGTTTGCAACAAGGCACTAAAGTAATACTGCAAGAAATGTGGCAAAGCAATTAACTTTTTGTCCTGAATACAAAGTGTTATGTTTAGGGCAAATCCAATACAACAATCACTGAGTACCACTCTCCATAATTTCAAGCATAGTTGTGGCTGCATGATGTTATGGGCATGCTTGTAATCGTTAAGGACTGGGGAGTGTTTTTAAGAAAAAAAAATAAACGGAATGGAGCTAAGCACAGGCAAAGTCCTAGAAGAAAACGTGGTTCAGTCTGCTTTCCACCAGATACTGGGAGATGAATTCTCCTTTCAGCAGGACAATAACCTAAAACACAAGGCCAAACCTACACTGGAGTTTCTCACCAATAAGACAGTGAATGTTCCTGAGTAGCCGAGAATGTTTTGACTTGAAAATCTATAGCAAGACCTGAAAATGGTTATCTAGCAATGATCCACAACCAATTTGACAGAGCTTGAAGAATTTTGAAAATAATAAAATGGGCAAATGTTGCACAATCCAGGTGTGGAAAGCTCTTAGAGACTTACCCAGAAAGACTCACAGCTGTAATAGCTGAAAAGGGTGCTTCTACAAAGTATTGACTTAGGGGTGTCAATACTAATGTAAATTAGATATCTGTATTTCATTTTCAATAAATGTGCTAAAAATTTCTAAAAACATATTTTCACTTTGTCATTATGGGGTATTGTGTGTAGATGGGTGAGAGAAAAAAAATACTTAATCCATTTTGAATTCAGGCTGTAACAACAAAAAGTGGAATAAGTAAAGGGGTATGAATATTTTCTGAATGCACTGTGCATCTGGGGAGCGGATGGATCAGGAACCTTAATTGAACTTGTGTTGCACCCACTCTGTTCCAGTGTATTCCAGGAAGTCTTTATTAAATGCCTTACACACATAATAACACACTGTACCAAAGCATGTAGCTATGCAATTACCGAAGTTGACCACCAACATAAATAACTATTAATGGACAGTAGGAGCCTGACTAAGACAAAATCTCAGATTGAAATGTTGTTGTGTGATGGCCTAATTAACGATATATGGTGGAGCAATCATGTGTGTAGATCCTACACAATCCCTTTAATGTACTATATTAAGGATTCGGGGGGGAAGTTTCCACTATGTACAGATCTAGGATCAGCTTCCCCTTCCAATCCTAACCTTTAACAGAGGGGGGAAACGCAAAACTGACCCAAGACCAGAATCTAAGGGCAACTTCACCCTACACCTTTAGTAGGCACATGATATGCTAGAGTCCCACCTGAAGCCAGGAATCATCTTAGCGAAGCCGATGACCTTCTGGATGCTGTAGCTGACCAGGTCAGCCAGGTGGGGCAGCATGGAGAGTTTGGAGCCGTCGTCCTCACTGGAGTCTGGGCTGCCTGCACTGTCCTGGTACATCATCAACAGACTGCTGAAGTTCATCAGCTTGCTGTCCACAGACTCTACACACACAGAGAGAGAGAGACACACACACACACACACACAGAGAGAGACACACACACACAGAGAGAGAGACACAGAGAGAGACACAGAGACAGACACAGAGACAGACACAGAGACAGAGACAGACACAGAGACAGACACAGAGAGAGGAAATATAAGAGTTCATGGGGAATGTGAATAAGGGAGATATGTAAGAATGGCAATAAATGGTTGCTAAAAGAAGCAACAGGTTTACAATGCAAGGTACAAAAGGCCATTCCTCTTCCTCAGTGATTACTGCAGTTCCAAGAGTATGTAGGGAAAGCTGCAGCCCATTATGCGATTATGTAGTGTAGGAGTAAGGCAGGGACAGGCGTGTTGTTAAAGAACCTTGGTATTTCTGGACAATATGTTAGAGTGCTTTTTCAAAAGACACCCAGGCAGGCATTTTATAAAAGCAAATGTATGGTACACGGCAGCTTCATAACAAACCTCAGAGTGGTGTGTGATTGTGAATTTTTCCACAGCCAAGTTATGGCCTTTGGTTCTACCTCATCACTTTAAGGAGACCCTTGAGACTTTTTATGCCAACACATCTTGTTAATGGAAAATGTGATTGTGGTGCATGTATACTGTGTGTACGAGTCCTATATGTGCATGCGTCCCTCACCTGGTGAGTGGTTGAAGGAGTCTGAGGAGGCATCTGACAGAGAGTGAAGGGAGGCTGCACGACTGGCACTGCGTGTTACTGGACCCTCTCGCACCGGGGGCTGCAAACACACAACACATACAACTAACATAACACAAGAACATATTTTGATTTGTCTTGGAAAGTGCACATAGAAGTGATTGATAAAACAGACCCATAATCACTTTAAGTGAGAATTGTAAAACATTACATTAACGTCATGCATATCTGTGATTTTGTATATAAAAGCAATATTGCAAAAAAAGTGAGAATGTGAGCGGCTCGGCTAGTTTGAGCAGTACTGACCCTGAAGCGTGAGAAGTCAGAGTAGGAGTCGTCATAGGTCTTGTGGTGGGCCTCCACCAATGAGGCGATGACCTGGCTCTGCTCTTCATTCAGCCTGGGTCTCAGGGCCTCCCGCGCCGCCTCCTCCTCCTTCCGCTTCTGGATCAGGTCCTTCTTCCTCTGCACCTCCTCATCTGTCAGGATGACTGGGGGAGAGAGGGAGGCGAGGGGGAGACGGGTGAGAAGAGGAGGGGTGGGAGAGAGAGAAGGAAGAACACAGCTAGCCTGATTGCCTCACACAGGAGCCTCAGATCTACTGACAACAGTGGTCGATAAGTGAGTTTCTATCACTTGCTGATAGTTTTCTTCACACAAACAGCAGCTAGCTATGAGAGACTCTAGAATGTGTAGGTTTATAATCTTCCAAGGAGAAAACCATTAGCGCCACAAGTGCTGCAGAGTGTAATCTGAGCCATGCTGTTTCTCAAACTAAATCTGACAAACCAGTCAATTTACATGCCAATAAAACGTGTCAAACTCATTCCACAGAGGGCCGAGTGTCCGCGGGTTTTTCCTCCTCCCTTGTACTTGATTGATGAATTAAGGTCACTAATTAATAAGGAACTGCCCTCACCTGGATGTCTAGGTCTTAAAACAGCCGACACTAGGCCCTCCATGGAATGAGTTGATACCCCTGCACTAGAAGATGATGCACAAAGCAATAGATAAATCAAATCAAATTAGAAATGTACGAGACCGAGGCTAAACAAGGGCTGGGGCTGACTCCATTTAGTCAACTGGTCGATTGGCTGTTGGTCGAACAATATTTTTTTAGTCAAGCAGTCGCAAACATATATATTTTCTCTTTTTTTTTTTTATGGCACACGAGACACCCGTCTGATTCACGCCTGTCTCAGTGGACTAATCCAATGCGGAGGCCGCGGGGCTGGCACACCAGCATCACTAGTAGTACATTTACCCTTAATTCCCATCATTTCTAATCTACAATGTTTGTTTGGTTACCGTCATTTCTGTTAATGCATTCAATATATTATTACAGTCCACTCTGCGTGAAAGGGGAAAAAAATGTCATGCTGTGATCCGGTGGAAACGTCATAAAAATAGGCCTACCTGATTACTTCTTATCCCTTGCGCAAATAGCCTACAGCTGTGTCTGTCTGGTGCAGGAAACTGAGGGCCCAGAATATTTTATACAAGTTTGCTAGCACCAGCTTCAGGCCAGACCCAAGTTAATAGTTGATACAATGTTTCAAGTTCTATGTTTCAGGCCATGTGTAGCCAATGTGATTTATAGGATATTTATTTTTATAAAGATATTCTTTACCTGCAGGCTGCAATGTTTTTATTTGTTGGCTTTATGTAGGCTATTTTTACATAGTTTGAAATGACAATAGAAGTAACTTTTTGAATTTTGATTAACCACACGATAATGATTGAGATACGAATACTTTATTATAAATTAAATTAATCTGTTCCACGAAAATGTGCATATGAAAATTATAACTGGCACGCAGATCGGTAGAAATGGTAAGATAAATTGGCACTCCAAATGGAAAAAGGTTGCCGACCCCTGGTGTAGCCTATTACCTAGTGGAAACTTCAGGAGCGTAACAGCAGAGTCTGCGAAGGCCAGCAGCAGCGGGAGGAAGCGGGTCAGATTTGTTTTTTCTCTTCTTCTGGTTAGGCTATCTTGATCTCTGGCTCCCGAGTAATTTGTTGGTCTTCATTATTTAAATCACAGTGTGCAGACAAGCTCAGTAGCCTATATATAGTTGATTTTATTAACAACACATAGGGTGTGTGTCTATATAGGGAAAAATACGTTTAAAAATGTAGACCAATCGATTGGTCGAAAGAACAGACTGGCAAATTGGCTCTATTTAATATGATGAGAAACAAGCTATGGAAGGAAAAATACTGGAGTTTTGGTGCCAGTACAGCCAACTAGCACAAAAATGATAGTGATAGTCAAAACGATACAATATATTGTCAAAGATAATACCCCAATATGCAACTGTATTGATCCCCATCACAAAATGTGAATCAGCTTCATGGCAGGACAATCCTGTCTTGCCTGATGTTTTCTAGAAACTCCTGCACACTTCATTAGCAAAAAATTGCTTTTACCACCCTTGTCAGAAAATGTATTACGCAACAGTAAAACAAATGTTGCCTGTTTCACACACGGACAGATCGAATTCCTGCTAAACCAAGTTTGCCTGCCATTAACAGCAGCTGTGGTAGAATACATTTAATGTTTGTGTCTATCATTTGCCAATAGTCTTCACTGAACAGCAGATTGAAGGAAACGTAGGTGATAAAACCAAAATACTTTGGGAGCTGACTAACCACAACCAGGCAGCTGGTTCGTATTATATGCTAGCTAGTAGCTACAGTGGGGGAAAAAAGTATTTAGTCAGCCACCAATTGTGCAAGTTCTCCCACTTAAAAAGATGAGAGAGGCCTGTAATTTTCATCATAGGTACACGTCCACTATGACAGATAAATTGAGGGGAAAAAAATCCAGAAAATCACATTGTAGGATTTTTTATGAATTTATTTGCAAATTATGGTGGAAAATAAGTATTTGGTCACCTACAAACAAGCAATATTTCTGGCTCTCACAGACCTGTAACTTCTTTAAGAGGCTCCTCTGTCCTCCACTCGTTACCTGTATTAATGGCACTTGTTTGAACTTGTTATCAGTATAAAAGACACCTGTACCACAACCTCAAACAGTCACACTCCAAACTCCACTATGGCCAAGACCAAAGAGCTGTCAAAGGACACCAGAAACAAAATTGTAGACCTGCACCAGGCTGGGAAGACTGAATCTGCAATAGGTAAGCAGCTTGGTTTGAATAAATCAACTGTGGGAGCAATTATTAGGAAATGGAAGACATACAAGACCACTGATAATCTCCCTCGATCTGGGGTTCCACGCATGATCTCACCCCGTGGGGTCAAAATGATCACAAGAACGGTGAGCAAAAATCCCAGAACCACACAGGGGGACCTAGTGAATGACCTGCAGAGAGCTGGGACCAAAGTAACAAAGCCTACCATCAGTAACACACTACGCCGCCAGGGACTCAAATCCTGCAGTACCAGACGTGCCCCCTGCTTAAGCCAGTACATGTCCAGGCCCGTCTGAAGTTTGCTAGAGTGCATTTGGATGATCCAGAAGAGGATTGGGAGAATGTCATATGGTCAGATGAAACCAAAATAGAACTTTTTGGTAAAAACTCAACTCGTCGTGTTTGGAGGACAAAGAATGCTGAGTTGCATCCAAAGAACACCATACCTACTGTGAAGCATGGGGGTGGAAACATCATGCTTTGGGGCCGTTTTTCTGCAAAGGGACCAGGACGACTGATCTGTGTAAAGGAAAGAATGAATGGGGCCATGTATCGTGAGATTTTGAGTGAAAACCTCCTTCCATCAGCAAGGGCATTGAAGATGAAACGTGGCTGGGTCTTTCAGCATGACAATGATCCCAAACACACCGCCCGGGCAACGAAGGAGTGGCTTCGTAAGAAGCATTTCAAGGTCCTGGAGTGGCCTAGCCAGTCTCCAGATCTCAACCCCATAGAAAATCTTTGGAGGGAGTTGAAAGTCCGTGTTGCCCAGCGACAGCCCCAAAACATGACTGCTCTAGAGGAGATCTGCATGGAGGAATGGGCCAAAATACCAGCAACAGTGTGTGAAAACCTTGTGAAGACTTACAGAAAACGTTTGACCTGTGTCATTGCCAACAAAGGATATATAACAAATTATTGAGAAACTTTTGTTATTGACCAAATACTTATTTTCCACCATAATTTTCAAATAAATTCATAAAAAATCCTACAATGTGACTTTCTGGGAAAAAAATTCTAATTTTGTCTGTCATAGTTGACGTGTACCTATGATGAAAATTACAGGCCTCTCTCATCTTTTTAAGTGGGAGAACTTGCACAATTGGTGGCTGACTAAATACTTTTTTCCCCCCACTGTACCTATTGAGCTGTGCCGCTGCCGCCCACATTTGATTTAATCTATTGTCATATTTAAGGATTTATCCACAATGGAGACAATATACAGCCACACTGTTCAGAACTAGAGGTGGACCAGCTTTACTCTAAGATAGAATCTTGTTTTACTACTGCTGGTTGGCTGACATCAGGCCAGAACGGGACACCGAGTAGCCCATCTAGCATGGCATTGTCAGAAGGACCGCCGCCGCAGCCAGGCTAGCATGTGGTCATTTTCCAGAGTTAACCAGCAATCGTCTGCTGTGCTTTCTGGATAGTATTTCACAGTGCCTTTTTGTTTGGTTGGCACAGCGGTGAGGTGACAGACAGCCGGCGGAGACCAGAAAAATCGAGCTGTTTACCACAAATGTCTCCACATTTATTCATTAGCCTCATGCCTGGATCGACATGGCAGAGGACTGAGCTGCAGGGTGAGAGAGAGGAGAAAGAACGAAAGAAGGAGAGAGAGAGGGAGAAGGCGAGAGAGAGAAGAGAGGAAATAGGAAGGAGAGAGAAAGGAGAGAGAAAAAGAAAGGAGAGAGGAGAAAGAATGAGAAGGCAAGAGAGGAGAGAAAAAGAGGAGAAAGAGGAATGAGAGAGAAAGAGATAAAGAGAAGGAGATAGAGGAGACAAAGAAAGAAGGAGAGAGAAGAGGAGAGAGGAAAGAAGAGAGCCGAGAGAGAAGAGGAGAGAGAAAGGAAGGAGAGAGGAAAGAAGAGAGCCGAGAGAAAGAGGAGAAAAGGATAGAAAGGATAAAGGGGGAGAGGGCGAGAGAAAGGGGAGAAGTAGAGAGAAAGAGCGAGAGAAAGAGAAGGAGTGAGAGAGGAAGGAGAAAGAGAAAAGAGCGCGCAAAGAAAGAGAGAAAGAACGAGCAAAAGAGAGGAAAGAGAACGAGAGAAGAGAGAGAGGGATGAGAGAGAAATAGGAGAGAGAAAGAAGTAGAGCTAGGAGAAAGAAAAGGAGAGAAAGGAGAGGGTAAGGGGAGAAGGAGAGCGAGAGAAAATAGAGGAGCGAAAGAGTAGAGAGAAAGAGAAGAAAGAAAGAGAAGTCGAGAGAGAAGAGATGAAGAGAGAGAAAGCAAGAGGAGAGAAGGCAAGATAAAGAGGAGCGCGAGAAGGAGAGAAAGAGGAGAGAGAAAGAGAGGGAGAGACCAGTTCTGAACGGACCCGAGGACAACTCAACCATTTCCGTATAGACCTGGTCAGATCAGAGTTAGGGAAGCAGCAGAGAAGTGAATTTGTAAGCTACTTTATTAACAGAGCTGATAAAACGCAAGAGAGAGACGCTCTAGCAGGTGTAGGAGGGGCCTTGCGGTGTGAGTACTGTGAGCGAGTGATACAGGAGCAAGGAGGGAGGGAGAGAGAGACAGCAACCAACCATACCAAGCAGACTCACGCTAGTGTACTAACTTCTAGTTTGTCACAGCTAGGTTATTTATCATTCAATATGATTACGTAGTACCTGTCTTGACTGCATCAAACCGAGAGAAGCTAGCTAGCTACGCTATCTTGGCTAACTCAGGCTGCATGCGCTTTCTCCCTGTCCTACAGTTCCAAATAACAACACTTCCATTCAGGTTATTAAGTAGCAGCGTACCTGTTGGCTCTTGTAGCCTATCCTTCTCATTTTAACGCCATTTTCCATTGATTAGATCATCTCCTAACTTGCTTTGCCACACACGGAGGCTCTATGACTGTAGTGTCGCTTTGAGGACTTGTGATTGGCCGACAACAACAAGCCACTGCATAGGATATTGTCGTTGAGCAGTGGTGACATACTGTTAACGTTTTATCCACAACTCTGTCCATCGCCGTTGTAATCTACTGTGAAGCCAAAATGTTCCCAAACAGGAGATTTAAAACAATGGAGGATCCTCCAATTATGTTTTATAGACCACACCACTCGCCATCGTACAGAACTAGTTCCCAGCTGCGCCTCACAAAAGGATAGTTTGGAATGAACCAATTAACCTTAGAATTTTGATTACAACGTGTGCATAGGCTCTAGTTGTTCTAACGGAATAGCCTACAACGTTTCTTCAACTCAGATTTACTCAAGAGGCAATGGCATACAACACAGCGTAGTCATAGCTTAAAGGCTAGTTTACAGAGAGGTCATAATAGTTTGTAGGCCAAACCGATTTTCGGGAAGTCTCATATTCTGACAAACACTGCTCTAGCTCTGTCACCTTTCACCGCAGACGTGCGACATCAGCGCATCCAATGCAAAATAATATTTCTCTAGCTTAACCTGACAGATTTATGGGATTTTTTTTATGCTAATTAGATTTCCGTGGGGCGCGGACCTCGACTTTAGGATATCATCAATATCACTACAACTACCCCTCTATTACTCAGAGAAAGTAAGGTAGGAGGCACCTCCATGCAGAATGAGCACAGAGGCGCTATTCCTTGCTGCTTTCCTGGTAACCCTGTAGCTTAAGGGAGCATGGGTAATTGTGTACTGCTCACTGATTTGGCAGGCTGCGCAGAGTGGGCAGGCCTGCTCTGTTGTCTTGGCACTCACACTAACAACTGTGGACAACGTGGCTGGATCCTCAGCATGGCAGGGGTGCTTTGAAGAAGCAACAAAAAAAACTGTAGGGGCAAGGCTTTGGATTGACCAATTACAGTGTTAAGACTACACCCACAGGTCATCAACGTCAACTGTCATTACTGTCATTAACACACAGAGCTGTGCAAAACATCTCCGTGTAGCATTTAACATGATTTATTCATGCGAACATACAGTGCTATTTGAGTCACATACTGTAACAGTCCAAAAAAAGAGGCCCAACAGGCAAACTTTAAAGAACATCAACATTCTACTTTACATAACCGCTTCCGCTTGTGTCCACATCAAGCTTAGCACAGCTCGACAACTGCTCAGTCGCCGCGCTGATCCAATCGCAAGTCTCATTCCACACATCTGCCTGAAATGTTTCGTGCCACATCGTTTTTACATGAGTGAGCTCCACATGACTGGGGCATGCAGCGCCAGGCAGCTCCTGCCTCATCCATGACTCAGTGGCCTATAGCACTTGTGTAGACAAAGAGGCCATTTTAGCGGTTTGGATCCTTTTTTCTTTTCCAGGGGGCTCATTTAGGCTTGTGACTGTTTGCAGGCTAGGCTACATGGCAGCAGCTCCACTCTCCTCCTGCTGGTGATTTAAATCTGTGTCGGACCATTGTGTAACAGGCCGGAGATAGAGTGTCATTGTTGGACTGGTCTTAATTTCTGTCCCCTCCCTCTTTCTGTCACCTCAAAATGAACAGCTTGTTTATTTTCATAACCATGCTGATTTGTTGGTGTTCCAGCACAGTAAAGTGGAGGGTATTTCATAAAGCAGGATTAATATGATTTAGCTAGTTAATTTTTCTAAATATTCTGAAACAACCACATATTTTCTAATTCGGTAAAGAATGTACAACAGGCCTGGGCATTGTTGTTCACTAATTTACTCCAAGTAGGGAAAGGATGGCGGAGTTGAAAAGTAATAAAAGGGAGTATATATATAAAGAACATGGGGGATTGGAAGTGATGCAGACAATTACATTGATAGAAGATACAATCTATCTGCAATATTAAGCTGATCCATCCCCCCCAAAAAAAAGATAAAAAAAGAAAAGAAAAAAAGAATGTAAAACAGTACAACCCTGGTCTATTTTCTGGCTGAATGCAACCCAAATACAGACAACATAAAGAGCATGTCCAGGCAACGATGACTATTCATGAATGTACAGTAAAACAGAAGGTAGTAACATGCTGTACAGTGGAGATTGTACTGTACTGCTCTTCACATTAGGCCTACATGTAAATAGTCTTTAGCCAGCATGAGCCCAGCACTTAAAGTGCTGAAGTTACTTTATTTATGACCATTTAGCAATCAGTCTCTGAGCACTCACACTCCTTCATCATGCCGATGTCCACGCAGCGTTTGAGCCGGCAGGCCTGGCAGTGCCGCCGGTTGTCCTTGGTGATGGTGCAGCTGCTGTTGAAGGGGCAGGTGAAACTTGCCTTACGCTTCATGCTGCGTCTGGTGGGGGCAGAGATATTAAAACCTGGCTCACTGGCACATTCATATATACACAGAGACATTAAAACCTTGCTGCATACACTGGAATTTTTTGCAAAAAGGGAGGCAGATGGGATTATTACTCAGCTGGATTACATTTGTAGACACACAAACGGAATTAGAAAACTACACTACTAGACATGAGAGGACAGCTGACTTAACATTTACATTTATATTTTAGTCATTTAGCAGACGCTCTTATCCAGAGCGACTTACAGTTAGCGAGTGCATACGTTATTTTTTAGATTTTTCAATCCCTCCCCTACCTTGGACGACGCTGGGCCAATTGTGCGCCGCCCCATGGGTCTCCCGGTCACGGCCGGCTACGACAGAGCCTGGATTCGAACCAGGATCTCTAGTGGCACAGCCTTAGACCACTGCGCCACTCGGGAGACTCAAGAGTGACGAGTGAGGGGTTGAGTTTAATGAGAACAGCATAATGCCTGAGAAAGACAGTCTGGCATTTTTTCCCCCTTCTTTCCTGTAGACACTTTCTCTCATCCATATACATCGGTTACATTTTAAGAAGCTGCATAAAGTTACCTAGACTGAGATATGATATGGCCAACCCTTTTGATAGGGTGCTTCTGCCCTGCAGTAGGAGTACTTCGATCACTATGAACCCTATAGGTATAAACCTAGAACCGTACAGTGTTTTATATGTTTTCTTGATGTTCTTCATGGTTTCAAGAAATCAAAGGGAAAAAAATTGAAGGGAAACAGCTCAGCTTTGAATTCAGCAGCGAAACGGTCGTCTATGGAAAACTCTATTTGACCTGTACTTGTAAAGATATACACAGTGGCGTTGGACTCACGCAACTGCACTGATCGCGAGCACTTGTTTCTATGATCGACTAAACTGGTTTACGGTTAACAAGTTTATAACAAGGCTGTGGTTTCTGACATCTTCTGCTGTAAAATAACAGCCACAAACGACAGATCTTGGCTACATTAATGAAGTTACCCCCTCTAGGCCAATTTCTTGTCTTTAAACAAAAATACTCACATTCTCCCATTCCTGCTCAAAAGACCAGCTTGCACTAGCTTTAAAAAGCTTCTAGGTAATACGCTTCCATATGGACAGCACAACCAGGTTGAGGTTGGTTTAGTTTGGCTTGGATCGGAGGCTGTCAGATTTGCATAATTTTTTTATTATTTTAGTATTGCCCAAAAGACCACATTGTTTTTATTCCCGGATAGTGTGGTATGTTCTCCTCTGTGCAGGAAGTATAGAGCCCTAATAAGCCCCGGAGCCCCACAGGCTACTCCACTACATTGTGTTCATTAGGGCAAGCAACCGGAAATAAAAATGAAGACAGCCCCGGACAACCCTTCCTGTTCCAAGTCAAACTGGACCCTCCAGCCCAATCCCATCCCATGTATAGTGTACCTGCCCTGTCCTGGTGAGTACCCACCTGAAGAAGCCCTTGCAGCCCTCGCAGGTCATGGCATTGAAGTGGAAGCCTGTGGCCTTGTCCCCGCAGACGCCACAGATGCGCGGCGCGTTGCGGTCGAACTCATCAGGCCCCACCACAGAGGTACTCACAGCCATGGCCTCCATCACTGCAATGAGAGAGAGTGGTTGGTTAGCAGTGGTCTGGCGCAGTCTTTATCCTTCCCATGTGTGTGAACAAGGCTGTATCAGACAGGTTGCATGTGTTGCTACTCATATTATAGGGACAGGTGTTTGGGAAATTAGCATAAGCGAATAGCCACAAGACAAGAAGAACACCCTGATGATTGTTCCTGTTATTGGCTCTGTAGTGACATAACGATCACACCATCTGTCCCTGTCAATTAAAAAAAACTACTGAAGTAATGCACACCAGAGGTAACACACCTAACCCCTTTTCAATCTCACTGCCTAATTTCCTTTGACAACCAAAGATCCTCTGGCACTGTATGTCCAGAGATGAGCAGAGAGAGACATTATATCCTATTAGTGGTGTTACATATAGGAATTAGGGACCTCCCAGGAGGATGAAGCAGCTCTAACAGGGAACAGAGGGAAGAGGAAGCTGGACCAAAGAAAAGAGAAACGGGAAGAGGTTGTGATTGACGGGGCGTGAGAAAGTGAGTTCAACAGTCAGTTACATGGCCAGACTGGGTTTAGCCTGCCTGAATTTGGCCTGTGGGTGATTTTATTTTGGGGGGGGGGGGGGGGGGACATAAAATACTAAAAACACCAGCAAATCAGCTCAGAGTGGTTTACATTTTGGAAATCTGTTCCAATGTATTCCCACGCATAACAGAGATACAGTGCCTTCGGAAAGTATTCAGACCCCTTGACTTTACAGCCTTAACAAAAATTGATAAAAAAAAATTTTTTTTCCCCTCATCAATCTACACACAATACCCCATAATGACAAAGCAAAAACTGTTTTTTAGAAATGGTTGCTAAAATAAAAATAAAGAATAAAAAAAAGATTTGACATTTATATAAGTATTCAGACCCTTTACTCAGTACTTTGTTGAAGCACCTTTGGCAGCGATTACAGCCTTGAGTGTTCTTGAGTATGACACTACAAGCTTGGCACACCTATATTTGGGGAGTTTCTCCCATTCTTCTCTGCAGATCCTCTCAAGCTCTGTCAGGTTGGATAGGGAGCGTTGCTGCACAGCTATTTTCAGGTCTCTCCAGAGATGTTCGATCGGGTTCAAGTACGGGCTCTGGCTGGGCCACTCAAGGACATTCAGAGACTTGTCCCGAAGCCACTACTGCGTTGTCTTGGCTGTGTGCTTAGGGTCGTTGTCCTGTTGGAAGATGAACCTTCGCCCCAGTCGGGAAGTCCTGAGCACTCTGGAGCAGGTTTTCATCAAGGATCTCTGTACTTTGCTCCGTTCATCTTTCTCTCGATCCTGCCTAGTCTCCCTGCCGCTGACAAACATCCCCACAGCATGATGCTGCCACCACGCTTCACCGTAGGGATGGTACCAGGTATCCTCCAGATATGACGCTTGGCATTCAGGCCAAAGAGCACAATCTTGGTTTCATCAGACCAGAAAATCTTGTTTCTCATGGTTAGAGTCCCCTTTAGGTGCCCTTTGGCAAACTCCAAGCGAGTTGTCATGTGCCTTTACTGAGGAGTGGCTTCCGTCTGGCCACTCTACCATAAAGGCTTAATTAGTGGAGTGCTGCAGAGACGGTTGTCCTTCTGGAAGGTTCACCCATCTCCACAGAGGAACTCTGGAGCTCTGTCAGAGTGACCATCGGGTTCTTGGTCACCTCTCTGACCAAGGCCCTTCTCCTCAGTTTGGCCGGGCGGCCAGCTCTAGGAAATTGCCATCGATAAAATGCTAATTGTTTTTGTTGTCCGTAGCTTATGCCTGCCCATACCATATCCCCACCATGGGGCACTCTGTTCACAACATTGACATCAGCAAACTGCTCACCCACACGACACCATGCACGCTGTATGCCATCTGCCCGGTACAGTTGAAACAGGATTCATCCATGAAGAGCACACTTCTTCAGAATGCCAGTGGCCATTTAAGGTGAGCATTTGCCCACTGACGTCGGTTACAATGCCAAACTGCAGTCAGGTCAAGACCCTGGTGAGGACGAGGAGCACGCAGATGAGCTTCCCTGAAACGGTTTTTGACAGTTTGTACAGAAATTCTTCAGTTGTGGAAACCCACAGTTTCATCAGATGTCCAGGTGGCTGGCCTCAGACGATCCTGCAGGTGAAGAAGCCGGATGTGGAGGTCCTAGTCTGGCGTGGTTACAGTGCGGTTGTGAGGCCGGTTGGACGTACTGCCAAATTATCTAAAACAACATTGGAGGCGGCTTATGGTAGAGAAATGAACATTCAATTGTTTGGCAACAGCTCTAGTGGACATTCCTGCAGTGAGCATGCCAACTGCACGCTCCCGCAAATTGAGACATCTGTGGCATTGTGTTGTGTGACTAAACTGCACATTTTAGTGGCCTTTTATTGTCCCCAGCACAAGGTGCACCTGTGTAATGATAATGCTGTTTAATCAGCTGCGTGATATGCCACACCTGTCAGGTGGATGGATTATCTTGGCAAAGGAGAAATGCTAATTAACAACAGGGATGTAAACAAATTTGTGCACAAAATTTGAGAAATACGCTTTTTGTGCACATGGAAAATGTCTGCGATCTTTTATTTCAGCTCAGTATATAAACAATCTCTCAAGCACAAGACCACCTGCTTGTGAGTAGCCAGCTAATCTTATATTTAAAGTTTAGCCAACTTGGATCTAATTGCTATCTAACAAGGCAGAACAGTTGAATTGTTATGAACACACCCTTCTGTCCGTCCCTAACTGTTTGAACAGCATGTTAGCCTGTCCACTTTGTTCAGATGTTGAAATCAAGTGGCCTACCTTATTTATCAGAATAAGACTGAGTTGCCAATTCCTTATATAATTGTGTTTTATGTTTACTGTTGCACATTTATAAAAACAGACTAGACAGCTAGTACAACAGTATTTGGCTAAAATGCTGCTAACGGCACGTGGTACCGCAATGCTGCGCGCGACAAACTGAGCACTCATTTTCCAGAATCAGTGTTCACTGATACTCTCGTTTTAGTAGTGTCTGCTCTGCGCGCAATTTGAGGAGTTGAGACATAAAAACGTTATCGTTAGAAAAGGTTAACTTCACTATTACAATAAAATAATGACAGATTCTGTTGGAACAAACCTCAAATGCAAATAGTTTAAACAGCGTGTCAGAGACGAAGAAGTGATCTCTAATCTTTGTTGTTTTGAGTGGTAGGGGGAAGGGCTTGGTTTGTGTGTAAACCACAGAGGAAGAGGCAAAGTGCTAAAAATCTGTCCAACATTAGCCCAATGCGTCTCTATGAGCTTATTTTGGGCCTAACTAAACTTGTCGCCTGCCTTCCCGCCTTTGGGACAACGACTCCCATTGTTAGGGCGGAGACATGTGAATCTCGTCATTATATAATAATAATATAATATGCCATTTAGCAGACGCTTTTATCCAAAGCGACTTACAGTCATGCGTGCATACATTTTTGTGTATGGGTGGTCCCGAGGATCGAACCCACTACCTTGGCGTTACAAGCGCCGTGCTCTACCAGCTGAGCTACAGAGGATCTCTGGTGTAAATGGGAAGCACAGAAAGAGCATAGGAGATGAGACCAAAAAGACAGCTTGAGAACAAGTGGACATAAAATGCTCAATAAAAAATTTAACAAATACAAATTATTGCGATACAGGCATTTGGAATATCGCGCAAAAACATAGATTTGAATTAATTTCATATAGGTTACCCAGCCCTACTGATTAGGCATTCCCGTCAAAATGCCAGACACCAATAACCCCCATACACATAGAAAACAAGGACATGCCATTTCTCAATACATAGTACTAGCAAATTCTGAACCATTAGACTGAAAAACAGTAATAATACATTCTTATTTAGCAAGTAATGACCCATGTGTAACAGGGGCGTGTACATACAGTGCATTCGGAAACCATTCGGACTATTTGACTTTTTCCACATTTTGTTACGTTACAGCATTCGTCTAAAATTGAATAATCTATCTACACACAATACCCCATAATGAGAAAGCAAAAACAGGTTTTAGCAAAATGTATTAAAGATTAAAAACAGAAATACCTTATTTACATAAGTATTCAGGCCCTTTGCTATATATTTGAGTTTGCCAAAAGCCACCCAAAGGCCATGAGAAACAAGATTATCTGGTCTGATGAAACCAAGATTGAACTCTTTGGCCTGAATGCCAAACATCACAGAGGAAACCTGGCACCATCCCTACGGTGAAGCATGGTGGTGGCAGCATTTCAGCGGCAGGGACTGGGAGACTAGTCAGGATCGAGGGAAAAATGAACGGAGCAAAGTACAGAAAGATCATTGATGAAAACCTGCTCCAGAGCACTCAGGACCTCAGACTGGGGTGAAGGTTCCCCTTCCAACAGGACTACGACCCTAAGCACACAGCCATGACAACGCAGGAGTGGCTTTGGGACAAGTCTCTAAATGTCCTTGAGTGGCCCAGCCAGAGCCCGGACTTGAACCTGATCGAACATCTCTGGAGAGATCTGAAAATAGCTGTGCAGCGACGCTCCCCATCCAACCTGACCGAGCTTGAGAGGATCTGCAGAGAAGAATGTGAGAAACTCCCCAAATGCAGGTGTGCCAAGCTTGTAGCGTAATACCCAAGAAGACGAGGCTCTAATCGCTGCCAAAGGTGCTTCAACAAAGTACTGAGTAAAAAATAATAAATGTATGCACTCACTAACTGTAAGTCGCTCTGGATAAGAGCGTCTGCTAAATGACTAAAATGTAAATGTAAAAATGAGTAAAGGGTCTGAATACTCACGTAAATGTGATATTTCAGTTTCTTTTTTTACACATTTGCAACAATTTCTAAAAACCTGTTTTTGCTTTGTCATTATGGGGTATTGTGTATAGATTGATGAGGGGGAAAAAACGATTTAATCAATTTTAGAATAAGGCTAACGTAACAAAATGTGTAAAAACTCTAGGGGTCTGAATACTTTCCGAACGCACTGTATTTGTATGGGGATTCAATAACGCAGACGCAGGATGTTGATTGATAAACATGGGCTACACACTATAATCAAAATAGTCCAACCACAGGCCATAACATTATTCATCGTTGCACTAGAGAAATCAACAAGGTTTAGCCAAGATGTGAATAATTGAACAGCTGTCATCTGTTTCTCTGATGACAAAGACACTGGTTGGTTTGACCATTTAGTGTTTTCGTCCATGGCTCACCACAGGGCCAGAGCAGAAACAAGTTGTTTTTCTTTAGCTAGAAGCTGAAACATAATGCGGACTGGCGAAGCAAGTCCCCCTCTATTCCTGGAAGCAATCATTAGGTTGTTACTCTGACTGGCAAATAGTTGCATAGAGACCGAGGTGCCTAATATAAAGTCAGGCTGCCCCAATGGTAGACTAGTCCAGTGTTGCCACTTGCCAGTCTCATATGAGATAGAGGCCCAATCCCAAAATCAACCCCTAAGCCCCTACACCCTAGCAAATCAGAGGGCAAAAGGAACTATTACCATATTGCTTACACCTGTCAAATCCACTCAGATCTCCACAAGTGCATAGGGAGTAGGTCTTAGGGGTCGATTTAGGATTGGGCCAGAGCTTCCCCATCATTGTGCCAATCATTGAAACACAGGCTTTTAAGCACCATCCCTCCCCAAACACAGAGCTGAATGGAAACTAGGACTAACATTCCTAATAGTGCTGGGTCAATGTCAGTGTGTGTGCACTTTCAACATCTGTTGTATTTTTGTTAGCTTGCCTTGTAGCTTGGTTAAATTGTAATTTTGACATGGATAGTGCCGGTTGTCCAATAAAACAATTCTCTGAACTCGCCACAACATGGGGAAAATCGCTTTCTTTCTAAACATGATCCACCTGCCAACAGTGCTGTGTAATGAATAGAGCATGAACACAAATCTCAGTCAGGTCAATGCCATTTAGTCCTTGAGCAGATGCTTAACACCCAGTAAACATCCAACTGTATCAACACGTGATGCAGCAATGTATGCTATTTCACTGGATGTGGGCTCTTATGTTAACAAATGGAACAAGCGCAATAAAGCAACAATATTAAGCTAGTTTCATATAATCTATGCAGGTCAGGAGATGAAACATGGATCCTCCACCCTGCTTTGACTGCATCTATGTCCTCTGGTCTCTTGACACACCCCATCCACTAACAAGTAGTACAGTGCCAGTCTTCTCTTTGTGAGTTCTTGCCATCACAAATCTGATGTTCCACAACAGACCTCTGACCGTGAAAGACGGCCTGCCTGGAGTCTCACACCGAGAGGATAATAAAAAGAAAGGTCAGGGCTCCAGACTAACTTTCTCAGTTGGTGGCACCAGCCCATTAATTAGTAATCACCTTATAAAGGCATTCAGTGAGATTTTTTGTTGTTGAAAAATAGACTACTGAGATGGCATGATAAAAAATGTTTTATCAAACATGTCCAAGCAGGAATGCATGATTCAAGTAATTTGGATGTGCAACCTAAACGAGTGATTTTAATAAATGTTTGGTTGACAATTAGGTTATTGTTGATATATTCTACTTTCAAAATAGGGCTCCAGAATTGAGATTGATTGTTTTTGCTCAATAGAGATCCATTTGCCGTAATGTTTTTGAGCACTAGCTAATAGGCTAATTCATTTGTGGATAATTCAAGACCTGAGGAAGTGGAAACTGAAAACACATTAGCTAGATTGCTAACTGTAAATATTGCTGATAGTTAGCTGTGTAGTTGATTAATCTAGCAGTAATATCCAAAAAATACATTTGCACGCTCTACATCTCAAAGATAGCAGTTTTTAAAACTGTGTCATTGGCACAATATTGAGAGTTGAGAAATAAAGTGTCATACTCACAGAAAGCAGAGACACTCCTCTCTCAAAACAGCATATAAAAACAGTTTTTCCCACGATTGCATTTCGAAATGTTGCAATCAGAATGCATTTCTCTCCCTCTAAATACATCGCACAGGGGAGGGAGAGGCAATGCGAGGAGCTCTCTCATCACAGCAGGCACTGTCAGGGGCAGGCACTTTCACGGCAGGAATCAATGCACTTTCATTTGCGCGTACTGTTTGACCAAATCAAGGTTTTAGACGCCCAGGGCTCGACATTAATGCTGGTCCGGGACAAGTTTTTAAAAAATATCAGACAAGAATATAGATTGAAGTTGTCCGAACGGAATGTCCAAAACCGATGCAGACATGAGGCACCAGAAAATGTAGCCAAACTTTAAATGAGACTTTTAATTACATAAATATAGGCTAAACGCCAGTCATGTTTGACAAATATAATGAACATTAACGTCTAAAAGGAAAGATTCTGTCAACATACTCGAGGCACGTTTCGTTCAGATCAAAAATGGTCACGAGACCGGAGAGTGAAGGAAAGCGCCTTTTGCGCACCGCACATCACCCACCTGGAATCTGAGAGGTGGCAGTCAGCATTTTGAAACTTTAACCATAAACGTAATTGTTTAAAACCTGGACGTTTTATGTAATTTTATGAAGCACGTCTTACCTTATTTCAAAAGTAGCCTAGCCAAAATATGACTATAGACATGTTGAGGGTCATTTTCTAAAATAAACACCTCATGTCATTGAAATTTCGCTCATGTTCTATAGGTTTTCAAATCAATGTTACTTTATATTCCAGCAGCCAAAGGCACATTCCTAGTCATATTAGTAACCCATGCTAGTTGACGCATCTTTAGATCTCCCCTCTTTATTTCGAACAGATATTTATCTCCATCACATGAAACCGCTCACAAGTGTGGTGAGCTTTTGACAACTGTCAACATTTTAAGCTAAATGTTCTGATCTGTTGAGTCAGCCTCATTGCTTTAAAATATGTTGATGTGGAGTTGTTGTACGATTTTGGGATCTGTCATCCCAGAACTGTCCCAGAGTGCGTTTTGAGCGGTCTTAGGCATCTTTTTTATTTTTTTATACTCGTCCCAGGGACGACGGGACGCCCTTAATTTCAAGCCCTGGGGGGAATTATTTTATAAAGAAAAAAAGTATTTGGTTGTAATTGTGATGTTGCAATATTTTATAGGCTACTCAGGGTGGCCAACCATCCTCCAGTAGAGCCTTAAACCTCGACGGGATTGGTGTCCCGTATACAGGACGGTTGACCTAACATGCGCTAATGTGATTAGCATGACTGTTGTAACAGTAAACTTTCCAGGACATAGACATGTCTTATATGGGCAGAAAGCTTAAATTCTTGTTAATCTAAGTGCACTGTCCAATTTACAGTAGCTATTACAGTGAAAAAAAAACATGCTATTGTTTGAAGAAAGTGCACAACAACAAAAAACGTATCACGGCAACTGGTTTGATACATTCACCTCTGAAGGTAAATGTACTTACATTGATTAATCTTGCTCTGATTTGTCATCCTGAGGGTCCCAGAGATAAAATGTAGCACAGTTTTGTTTGAAAAAAACAATTTATATATTCAAATGTAGGAACTGGGTTCTACAGTTTGAACCCCTGCTGTCTCTGGCTCCACACCCACCCCGCACAGCCATCTAGATGTGTGAAAGTTGGTGTATAAGCTAATGATCCATTATGTATGACATTCCTGGGAGTGTGTAAACTTACAGTTTGTATTACCATATCATTTCTGTATGTTCTCTATAGTTATGTACATGAAAATATAGCAATTGACCAATTCGGCACATTTGGGCAGACTTGATACAAAATAGTCCAGTATTGCAACGCTTCACTGAATCAATCTGAAACTTTGCACACACTGCTGCCTAAACTGCAATATTATATTGTGGCCTCTCTCTTGCATTTCAAAGATGATGGAACAAAAAAATAATAGAAAACACGTGTTTTTTTGTTTGTATTATCTTTTACCAGATCTAATGTGTTATATTCTCCTACATTAATTTCACATTTCCACAAACCTCAGTGTTTCCTTTCAAATGGTATCAAGAATATGCCTCTCCTTGCTTCAAAATGCGACTAAATGGTCGCAGTCTGGAGCCCTGGGCTAGGTTGAATGTTACGATGCTGTGCAATGGAGTTTGCTACTCAGGGACCTAACTATTCGGCTAAACTGTTACACTATTCAATCAGGATGATTAGTTTAGTCACCAATCACTACACAGAGTACAGGTTGTTCCTATTGTCACTCCAGACCTGACCTGAGAAACATCCAACCTCCACATTACAGCACAGCTACAGAACATCAAAAAGAGGGAAGAAAGCGCTGATGTTATCTAACCGGACGCTCGCACATTGAGCAAACGACCCAGAAACCATTAAGATGAGGGGCCATAGGAAAGGGGCCATGTGAGTCGCATTTAGTCACAGACATAAAACCCAACGATGGGGCGAAGCCTTTCCCAGGCCTTCCGAAAAATACACACACAATGTTCAGATTGGCTAACGTGCCCCCCATGGACGCATTGCTCTGATTGGTCGGTGAAACCGCACCCTAGTTACACGCTAAAAAACAGATCAGGTCACAGCACCATTGTGTGCCGCCTCACTTGTTGTGCATGTTATTGAAGCAACAATCATAGGGGCAGAATTGAGCTGAAGGGCCAAAAAAAAGCAGGTGGGCGGCCTATTCTTGCTGAGCTAAGTGCAGGCGAGGGTAATACAAGGGGGAGATGCACACACGTGACACGTCTGGGAAAAAGCGCATGGTGGCATACGGGCCCAGCCATCAATCCTGGGCACTTCTGCAGCAGAGACATGGTTGTTTAACGATGGGCACAGTGAGCAGGGTTCAACACACGCCCATCTGTACAAACGGATAATATGCTAATGAAATCACCAGGCTTCCCTAAGCAGCCCTGGATAACTAATATTATTCTCTTACTCATCAAAGCAATAGAATGAAAATAAAAAAAAGAACATTATCCCTGGAAAAAAAATCCCTTGCCCCAGATCCACACTGCTGCAGCGACTGAACTTTGGACCTTGTTTTCGGCATTGGCTGGAAATGAATAGACCGCCATGTTGTTGGCAGGCTGAAAAAAGTGAGAAGGGAGAGAGAGAAAAAAGCTACTTGTGGTTTAGAGTGGTATGGGGGGCCCCAAATCCCTCGCAGGGATGAATAACAGGAGCGTAAACTTGCATAGCAGCATAACTGAGCTGAGCAGTTCTGAGTAGTGCAGTGCTTTACTATGACGACTGTCCACACTCCTCTCTCAACCACGGTGGAATGTACATCTGAATTCTACTAGCTATGTATTATTAGGACCTAAGCTAACTTTCCCTTTGATCAATCTTTTATTTACTTCAACAGTAAGTGACTGTCATTACATTAATAGATAACATACATTTAAGAGCAAACTAAAAAGAGAACTGTAGTGCTTATGGTCTCCGAAAAAGGACAGGATGAAGTATGGTATCTCTGTTTAGACTGGGGTCAAGGTGTGTCATCTTGTGACCACTAATTAGATTAGTTGACCACACAAAATCTAACCTCCCAACCCGTCCCCTCTCGAAAATATGCTTTCAGCCCATCCTCCATTTGCCTTGACTCAATCAAGAGGGCCGTAGTTCAAAGTTCATCAGAGGCGCAACAACAGTCAGAGGATCCACACACACAGAAACACAAAATCAGATTACCACACAGCAAAGAAATCCCTGTCTGTGGGAATGATTGCCTGAACTCTTATATCCCCGATAAGCGCAAAACGCAGTTAACAAAAACAGACTGGCTTGTAACCTTTGAGATTTAAAGTAACGTGAGGCATGTCCAACGGTATAGCCTATCGGGCTGACAGGTCATCAAAGTGTGATGAGCTGGAGGGAGATGAACTCCCCTATAGAGCAACAAGCCATTTTGTTACTCCTAGTAAGAATGATACGTCAGCCATCTTACTCAGGCAGCTTTGACTAACAATTAGAGAGAATGGAGGGCAGAACGATAAGGTAAAAAGGAGAGATGACTTGTATGTTCCCCACAGGGCAGTAATAACATACCTGGTCAAAGGTTTAGACGTGGCAAACCCTCCTACCTTGCGGAAAAAACTAGTCAAATAACTGCACAAGAGCACAAGCATGTACTACAGCCCTGAGTAATGCAAAGAAAAGTACTGTACAGTCGTACAAAAGTTGGTAGTATTGGTCTTCACAAAGTTCGCTGCTTCAGTGTTATGAGATATTTTTGTCAGATGTTACTATGGTATACTGAAGTATAATTACAAGCATTCCATACGTGTCAAAGGCTTTTATTGACAATTACATTAAGTTTATGCAAAGAGTCAATATTTGCAGTGTTGACCCTTCTTTTTTTAAGACCTCTGCAATCCGCCCTGGCATGCTGTCAATTAACTTCTGGGCCACATACTGACTGATGGCAGCCCATTCTTGCATAATCAATGCTTGGAGTTTGTCAGAATTTGTGGGGTTTTGTTTGTCCACCCGCCTCTTGAGGATCGACCACAAGTTCTCAATGGGATGAAGGTCTGGGGAGTTTCCTGGCCATGGACCCAACATTTCAATGTTTTGTTCCCCAAGCCACTTAGTTATCACTTTTGCCTTATGGCAAGGTGCTCCATCATGCTGGAAAAGGCATTGGTCGTCACCAAACTGTTCCTGGATGGTTGGGAGAAGTTGCTCTCGGAGGATGTGTTGGTACCATTCTTTATTCATGGCTGTGTTCTTAGGCAAAATTGTGAGTGAGCCCACTCCCTTGGCTGAGAAGCAACCCCACACATGAATGGTCTCAGGATGCTTTACTGTTGGCATGACACAGGACTGATGGTAGCGCTCAACTTGTCTTCTCCAGACAAGGTGTTTTCCGGATGCCCCAAACTATCGGAAAGGGGATTCATCAGAGAAAATGACTTTACCCCAGTCCTCAGCAGTCCAATCCCTGTACCTTTTGCAGAATATCAGTCTGTCCCTGATGTTTTTCCTGGAGAGAAGTGGCTTCTTTGCTGCCCTTCTTGACACCAGGCCATCCTCAAAAAGTCTTCGCCTCCCTGTGCGTGCAGATGCACTCACACCTGCCTGCTGCCATTCCTGAGCAAGCTCTGCACTGGTGGTGCCCCGATCCCGCAGCTGAATGAACTTTAGGAGACGGTCCTGGTGCTTGCTGGACTTTCTTGGGCGCCCTGACGCCTTCTTCACAACAATTGAACCTCTCTCCTTGAAGTTCTTGATGATCCGATAAATGGTTGATTTAGGTGCAATTTTACTAGCAGCAATATCCTTGCCTGTGAAGCCCTTTTTGTGCAAAGCAATGATGACGGCATGTGTTTCCTTGCAGGTAACCATGGTTAACAGAGGAAGAACAATGATTTCAAGCACCACCCTCCTTTTAAAGCTTCCAGTCTGTTATTCTAACTCAATCAGCATGACTGAGTGATCTCCAGCCTTGTCCTGGTCAACACTCTCACCTGTGTTAACGAGAGAATCACTGACATGATGGCAGCTGGTCCTTTTGTGGCAGGGCTGAAATGCAGTGAAATGTTTTTTGGGGATTAAGTTCATTTTCATGGCAAAGATGGACTTTGCAAATAATTGCAATTCATCTGATCACTCTTCATGACATTCTGGAGTATATGCAAATTGCCATCATCAAAACTGAGGCAGCAGACTTTGTGAAAATGTGTATTTGTGTCATTCTCAAAACTTTTGACCACGACTGTACATTTAAACATCTGGGAAACAGGATATTGTCAATGTGTAAAATAACAAGTAAAAACCAAATAAGGCAAATGACTAGAGCCCGACCGAAATAGGATTTTTGGGTCCGATGCCGATACCGATTTTAGGGAGGCAAAAGTCACCGATTACATCTGCCGATAGTGTTTGTTTATTCCACCGATAGAGGTGGAATAAAAAATACTTATTAAATTAGTTCTTTTTACAAATCGTGCTCCAAAGGATTAAACAACTCTAAATGGTTTTTTCTTACCTAATATTACAATTAACATTATTTAAGAACATTTTATCGTGGATTACATGATAACCACCAAAAAGCAACTATATCCTCTATAAATATTAAAGTAAATACAACACTTCTTCAGTTTACCTTCCTAGGTGCAACTTAAAAGATGTGTCCATCTATGGGAGCGGATAAGAATGCAAAAGCGTTTGTGCTGAAGAACCACAAGCACACTAATAAACAAGGGCTGAATGAATTGAACTTGGTCTCAAAGTAAACCTGAAACTGCACTTCTCACAAGATCAAACTATCAGTGGAATAAAGACAGATTCACAGAAATATTTGTGTAAAGGCTAAAATCCGCCGATAATATCGGTCAACCGATTTATCGGTTGGGCTTTACAAATGACACAGCATTTCTGAACCCGTTATTTAAAGCGGAACTAGGATAATAGCCAATTTTGTAAGGGAAGGAATTTCAAAAACGCAAAATACTGGGGCCTAGTAGATTTGTATTTTGCTGTTTTCGCTAATCCCTTTCAAAAGTTGTTTGTTTGTTAACATTTGCTAAGACTGTTAGTAAACAAAATAGCTGCTCATCATCAATATAGGCCTGTTGTATTAAAGTGATCCTCCTGTGGGGAACAACAATGCCCCCTCCGCTGGAAAGCCATGTGGGGTCTCTTCAAGTCAGATTTCAACATCAGTGAGACAACTTATCTGCTGAGAGGAGGTCCCGCAAAGATCAATGGAATTCTGTCAATTACGGAATTGAAGTATAGAACCAAAGTGTCAATGCAAACGCCCAGCAGACAGCCGCAGTCCATGAACTGAACTGACACACTGACAGCTAATGTGGGGCATCAAAGTCCGACCAGGCTAGATTTTACTATGGCCACCATCACTTTTCCCTGAAGAGTCACACTAAACTTGCCCATTAAAACCCAAGAGGCTAGGTACTCACATTCAAGTATTAGATGGGCTCACTAAGCTTTCACCGAGTGGAGCTGTCAATGAGTGCTCAGTGCTCACCGTGTGGTCTTTTTTTGTCGACAGCTTGTGTTCACACATTCATTGACCGGGCATCGAACACAGGCTAATTTAATAGTCAAATGCACAAAGATGATATGCTTCCAAAGAAACTGCTCAAAATGCAGTGTTCACCTCCTAAAATAAAAGCTAGAATACCTCACATAGGCACTATTAGGCAGAAACTATAAGCAATCCTTAAAACGACTATAAACATAGTATTGATAAGTCAGTCAGACTTTGTCAAACTGGGTAAAACACAGCAGCACTGACCTGAGCGACTCAGAGAAGGGTCTGTGGATCCATTTCCTCTGAATTAGAAAATAAAGACAGTTTCCAGACAAAATCCCCCAAGGTCCGCGAGAAAAAAAAAGAGAGTCTTCCTCTCTCCTCTACCTAACACTCCTTTTGGTAGCTCACTTATTCCCTCTCTCTCCCCCTCTAGTTCACCCTCTCATTCTTTCTACCCCTCAGTTGCAGTAATGTCTCTCTGTACCGGTTTGGTAGTGATGCCAAAGAGGTGAGTGGTGTTTGCTAATGTTTAACATACTCATGGGGTCAGCAGGGCAAACTCCAGAATTATAGGACTGGCATGGGCAAAAGAGAGAGAGGTCCACTTTTCCCCCAACATATGAGACGTGGCCTACAAATGTGCTCATAAAATCCTGACATGTAATTCTATTAATCAAAATAAAGGCCCATGGGCAAGGGAAGGCTGGGTAGTGAAACCGCAACAGTTAAGAGACCAGCCTTTAAAACAAGAGTATGTACTTGACATTCACTTAAGTGGGGAAATCATTTAATATACACAGTAAGTAGGATCTGTGGACAGATCAAAGTTAGCATTATATTAACATAATGCAGCGTAACAGCATTATGGTGCTCCGATAGTTACGGTGAGATTGCTTTCATCCAATACTTGGCAAAGTAAAACTTACATTCTAGCTGAATCATGTGTGTGATGAGCCCCTTTGATTTAGATTTTTTTCTATGGAATCGGCTATAAGCTGGAACAGCCCACATGACATTGGAATGTTGTAGGTTAGCAGAACAGTGTTCTGAAATGGCTGTGAAGAGTTTAGCTCTGCTCGTCGTGTGCACTGAGCCACCGATCAGTATGTTGTAACATCACCTGACCAATGGGAGTACGGCCTACGTCAAAAATTCACTTGACAGGAAGGTTTGGATTTTATTACAGAACTACATTACAAAAGCAAAACAGGTGATGGAAAGTGTAGGGGAGTTCACTTCATCTCAAGACGAGACATGGCAGAGGATGAGCCTTTCAAAGAGAATCATAGGCTATGCATCTCTCTATTAAATATACTGTTAGCGACATATGATCTTGGGAAACTCCTCAACGCTACATTGTCTGTACAGCACCAAGAACACAAGTTTGTGAGGGAGTTGAGGAAACTATACATCAAGTTCTTCTCAGCTAATAGCGGCGGACTCACCAAGAACATTGAGATTTCATCAACTTGGTTTAGAAGGGGAACAGATTTAGATCTGGAGCTTTGTCCTCTACCAAATCTTCATGTTAGGCAAAAAAAAGGTGCCAAGCCAAGACTAACATATTAGCCTGTTGGGGAAAAAAAGGTGCCAAGCCAAGACTAACATATTAGCCTGTTGGGGAAAAAAAGGTGCCAAGCCAAGACTAACATATTAGCCTGTTGGGGAAAAAAAGGTGCCAAGCCAAGACTAACATATTAGCCTGTTGGGGAAAAAAAGGTGTTAAGCCAAGACTAACATATTAGCCTGTTGGGGAAAAAAAGGTGCCAAGCCAAGACTAACATATTAGCCTGTTGGGGGAAAAAAAGGTGCCAAGCCAAGACTAACATATTAGCCTGTTGGGGAAAAAAAGGTGCCAAGCCAAGACTAACATATTAGCCTGTTGGGGGGAAAAAGGTGCCAAGCCAAGACTAACATATTAGCCTGTTGGGGAAAAAAAGGTGCCTAATATGGCAGTAACAGCCCTACAGGCAACGTGAGGAAATTTAGGATTAGGAACACATTCATCTTCACTTCAGCCACTCAAAATAAACTAATTTAAGAAATTCCTTTCATTAAGGATCTGTAGATTATTGAACAATTATTACATTGGTTGAGTTAGGGTAAGCGTACCTATTAAGCCCACTTCCATCTTTGGATTAAAAAATAAATAAAATATCTGCTGTTTAATGTTTCTACTAACTCATCTAGTTATATCCATAACTTGTTTTATTATAAGCCAATCAGATGTTTTATTATTAAGTTATTGACCATTGTGTAAGTTCCCACTAATGGCCAATTTCATAGAAGAAAAAATAAATAAAAATAAAAATAAGAGGCTACCCTCAGATATACACTACCATTCAAAAGTTTGGGGTTACTTAGACATTCCCTTGTTTTCGAAAGAAAAGCAATTTTTTTTACCATTACAATAACATCAAATTGATCAGAAATACAGTATAGACATTGTTAATATTGTAAATGGCTATTGTAGCTGGAAACGGCTGATCTTTTATGGAATATCTACATAGGCGTACAGAGGCCCATTATCAGCAACCATCAGTCCTGTGTTCCAATGGCACGTTGTGTTTGCTAATCCAAGTTTATCATTTTAAAAAGCTAATTGATCATTAGAAAACCCTTTTGCAATTATGTTAGCACAGCTGAAAACTGTTGTGCTGATTAAAGAAGCAATAAAACTGTCCTTCTTGAGACTAGTTGAGTATATGGAGCATCAACAACTGTGGGTTCAATTACAGGCTCAAAATGGCCAGAAACAAATAACTTTCTTCTGAAACTCAACAGTCTATTCTTGTTCTGAGAAATGAAGGCTATTCTATGCGAGAAATTGCCAAGGAACTGAAGATCTCGTACAACGCTGTGTACTACTTCTTTCACCAGAATAGAAAGAGCAGTGGGAGGCCCCGGTGCACAACTGAGCAAGAAGACAAATACATTAGTGTCTAATTTGAGAAACAGACACCTCACAGGTCCTCAACTGGCAGCTTCATTAAATAGTATCCGCAAAACACGAGTCTCAACGTCAACAGTGAAGAGGCGACTCCAGGATGCTGACGACCTAGGCAGAGTTGCAAAGAAAAAGCCATATCTCAGACTGGCCAAGAAAAATAAAAGTTTAAGATGGGAAGAAAAATAAAAGTTTTAACATTTGGGAAGACTTCATGCAAAACAGTCCAGTATTGCAACGCTTCACTGGATCAATCTAAAACTTTGCACACACTGCACTAAATTCTAAATTGCGCCTAAACTGCAATATTATATTGTGGTCTTTATCTTGCATTTCAAAGTTGGAACCAAAAGATTAATAGAAAACGAAAAAAATGTGTTTGTATTATCTTTTACCAGATCTAATGTGTTATATTGTACTACATTATTTTCACATTTCCACAAACTTCAGTGTTACCTTTCAAATGGTATCAAGAATATGCTTTTCCTTGCTTCAGGTCCTGAGCTACAGGCAATTAAGTGTAAGTGAACAGCTAAAATAGTTTTTATTTACTAACTCTATTTTTTCAATGTATCAATCGGGCTTCAGGAAGAAGCATAGCACAATTACAGCAGCCATGAAGGTTTTAAATGATATCACTGAAGCCCTTGACAAAAAACAGCACTGTGTCTCACTTTTTATTGATCTCTCTAAGGCTTTTGATACAGTTGATCATGCTATACTAAGGCAGAGATTGTTGAGTGTAGGTCTGTCGGAGCATGCAGTTGCATGGTTTGCTAACTATCTGTCTGATAGAACTCAGTGCACTCAATTTGATGGGCTTATGTCTGTTAAATTGTCTGTCCTGAATGGTGTGCCCCAGGGCTCTGTACTTGGTCCTCTCTTATTCACTATTTATATTAATGATTTAGACAAAAATGTCCAAAATGCACAACTTCATTTTTATGCTGATGATACTGTTATTTACTGTTGTGCCTCATCTCTTACAAAAGCTTTCCAGAACTTGCAAACTGCTTTTTATACTGTTCAACATACCTTGTGTCAATTGAAGCTTATCCTCAATACTGACAAAACTAAACTAATGGTGTTTTCTAATGCAAGAAATAGACCTCTGAACCTTTCACCTGTTACTACCTGTCAGGGCAAGGAGATTGAGGTTGTAACCTCATATAAATATCTTGGAATTCTAATTGATGACGGCCTCTCTTTTAAATTGCATATTCAACAACTTACAAAAAAATTGAAGCTGAAATTGGGATTTTATTTTAGGAATAAGGCCTGTTTTTCTTTTGAAGCCAGAAGGAGGCTAGTATCAGCTACATTTATGCCTTTACTAGACTATGGGGACATTTTATATATGAATGCTTCCGCTCAGTGTTTGAGATCAATTGACACTCTTTATCATGGTACTTTGAGATTTATTTTAAACTGCAAAACCCTTACGCACCACTGTACTTTGTATACCAGGGTTGGCTGGCCTTCTCTAGTCACTCGTAGGCTCAGTCACTGGTATACTTTTATTTACAAAGACATTTTGGGTTTTCTACCTTTTTATTTGGGCATTTTTATTGTTCAGAAATGTGGTGGGTACTCTCTTCGTTCACTGGACTTTATCCTGCTAACTGTTCCAAATGTCCGAACTGAATTTGGTAAAAGGTCTTTTATGTACTCTGCGCCATCGTCTTGGAACACCTTACAAAATAATTTTAAACTGGAAGAACTTGTCCCGATTGGTGTTTTTAAATCTCTGATGAAGGATTTTGAGGCTGATTCCCTGACCTGTCAATGTTTTTAATTTGCTGTTTTTGATATTGTTATACTCTTGTGAATTCATGAATGGTTTTTACTAGATTACTTGTAGTTTTTCATGTTGTCTGTCTGTAATTTTTTGTAATGACTTGGTGCTGCCTATCTTGGCCAGGACGCTCTTGAAAAAGAGATTTTAAATCTCAATGAGCCCTTCCTGGTTAAATAAAGGTTAAATAAAATAAATAAATAAATTAGATTTGGGAATGTCATTTTAGGCGATAAAGGTTCACCTTCCAACAGGTCAACGACCCTAAGCACACAGCCAAGACAACGCAGGAGTGGCTTCGGGACAAGTCTCTGAATATCCTTGAGTGGCCCAGCCAGAGCCCGGACTTGAACCCGATCAAACATCTCTGGAGAGACCTGAAAATAGCTGTGGAGCGACGCTCCCCACCTGACAGAGCTTGATAGGGTCTGCAGAGAAGAATGTGAGAAACTCCCCAAATACAGGTGTGCCAAGCTTATAGCGTCATAACCAAGAAGACTCACGGCTGTAATCGCTGCCAAAAGGTGCTTCAACAAAGTACTGAGTAAAGGGTCTAAATACTTATGTAAATGTTATATCAGTTTATTGTTAATACAAAATGTGGGAAAAGTAAAGGGGTCTGAATACTTTCCGAATGCACTGTGTATACACACACACACACACACTACATGAACAAAAGTATGTGGACACCTGCTCGTCGAACAACTCATTCCAAAATTATGGGCATTAATATGGAGTTGGTCCCACCTTTGCTGCTATAACAGCCTCCACTAGATGTTGGAACATTGCTGCGGGGACTTGCTCCCATTCAGCCACAAGCATTAGTGAGGTTGGGCACTGATGTTAGGCTTGGCTCTCAGTCGGCGATCCAATTCATCCCAAAGGTGTTCGATAGGGTTGAGGTCAGGGCTCTGTGCAGGCCAGTCACGTTATTCCACAACGATGTTGACAAACTATAATCTAATGAATTCATTGCTTGTTTAAATTATACCTAGGCTAAATATACAGTTCATTCAGAAAGTATTCAGGCCCCTAGACTCTTTCCACTTTGTTACGTTACAGCCTTATTCTAAACTGGATTCAATTGTTTTTTTCCCCTCAATCTACACACAATACCCCATAATGACAAAGCAAAAAACAGGCTTTAAAGAAATGTTCGCACATTTATGAAAAATAAAAGATACAAGCATAACATTTACATAACTATTCAGACCCTTTACTCAGTACAAGCTTGGCACACCTGTATCTGGGGAGTTTCTCCCATTCTTCTCTGCAGATCCTATCAAGCTCTGTCAGGTTGGATGGGGAGCGTCGCTGCACAGCTATTTTCAGGTCTCTCCAGAGATGTTCGAGTCGGTTCAAGTCCGGCCTCTGGCTGGGCCACTCAAGGACATTCAGAGGCTTGTCCCGAAGCTACTACTGCGTTGTTTTGGCTGTGTGCTTAGGGTCGTTGTCCATCAAGGATCACTCAATACTTTGCTCCGCTAATCTTTCCCTCGATCCGGACTAGTCTCCCAGTCCCTGCTGTTGAAAAACATCCCCACAGCATGATGCTGCCACCACCATGCTTCACAGTAGCGATGGTGCCAGCTTTCCTTCAGACATGACGCCTTGCATTCAGGCCAAAGAGTTCAATCTTGGTTTCATCAGAACAGAGAATCTTGTTTCTCATGGTCAGAGTCCTTTAGGTGCCTTTTTGCAAACTCCAAGTGGGCTGTCATGTGCCTTTTACTGAGGAGTGGCTTCTGTCTGGCCACTCTACCATAAAGGCCTGATTGGTGGAGTGCTGTAGAGATGGCTGTTCTTCTGGAAGGTTCTCCCATCTCCACAGAGGAACTCTGGAGCTCTGTCAGAGTGACCATTGGGTTCAGCTCTAGGAAGAGTCTTGGTGGTTCCAAACTTCTTCCATTTAAGAATGATGGAGGCCACTTAGGGGTGGGCGGTATACCGGTTTGAACGTGAATACCAGTATGACGTTACGCCATGATATACATTTCTGTCGAGTGATACAGCCTAGTGGGCTAGTTCAATTTGTTTATTTTACTAGAAACATAGCCTTTTTTAGCAAAGAATAAAACTAGAAGCATGGACGTTACGCGCAATCTGCCTGCCAATCAATCAAAGTCAACAAACAAGCATGCGCAACTGCAGAGTAAGCAAACATTTACTGAAGTAAACTCCTTTCATTAGCAAAAGTGTCAGAAAATCAAGCTTTGAGGATGACTGAAGACAAGGAAAATAACGCTATTGAGGTTGATTTGCAGGACGACGAAGAACTGTTCGAAAAAAGGGGGCTTCCTCTGTCGTTTGGAACTGACAAGAAGAGCAAGAAGTGGAATGAGATAACGAGTGCAATTACGTATCACATAGCGAAAGACATGGAACCAAT